ATATCCTCGAGGAAATTCCTAAGCCACTCAGCTTCTTCCCCGGCTTTGTCCAAGGATATAAACTCGGACTCCATCGTGGATCTAGCAATACACGTTTTCTTAGAAGATTTCCACGACACCGCTCCTTCACCTATAGTGAACACAAAGCCACTAGTGGACTTGGAATCCTTTGTGTCAGATATCCAATTTGCATCGCAATACCCTTCAAGTACCACTGGATACCTTGTATATGTTATTCCAAAACTCAAGGTATGTTTCAAATACCTAAGTACCCGGATCAGAGCATTCCAATGGTCTTCGCTCGGGTTACTCGTGAACCTACTTAGTTTACTCACCGAATATGCTGTATCGGGCCGAGTACAATTCATCAAGTACATCAAGCTCCCAATTACTCGTGAGTATTCTAGTTGAGAACTGGTTCACCTCGATTTTTAGCTAAATGTTGAGTTAAATCAACAGGAGTCTTAGCCGGAGGCTTATCAAATGCATTGAACCTCTTCAAGATGTTTTCAACATAATGGGATTGTGACAAAACAATTCCTTCCGAACTTTTAGAGATTTTAATCCTTAAGATCACATCGGCTTTTCCCATATCCTTTATGTCGAAATTATTTTTCAACATTTTCTTGGTACTAAGAATTGAACCATTATCTTTTTCCCAAGATCAACATGTCGTCCACATATAGGCATACGATCACGAATGAATCGACGTTACCTTTAATATAAACACATTTGTCACATTCGTTGGTTTTAAATCCATTCTACAACATCACTTTGTCAAACTTTTCGTGCCATTGCTTAGGTGCTTGTTTTAGTCCATAAAGCGACTTAACCAAGTGACACACTTTTTGTTCTTTTCTGGGAGCAATAAACCCCTCGGGTTGTTCCATATAAATTTCCTCCTCGAGGTCTCCATTTAAGAAGGCCGTTTTCACATCCATTTGATGAATCTCAAGGTCATGCATTGCTGCAATTGCAATGAGAACACGTATAGACGTGATTCGAGTTACAGGAGAATATGTATCAAAGAAATTATATCCCTCCGTTTGATTAAACCCTTTTACAACCAATCGGGCCTTACACTTATCAATAGTTCCATCAGCTTTATACTTCCTTTTGAGGATCCATTTACATCCCAAAGGTTTACTTCCCGGTGGGAGATCAACCAACTCCCATGTATTATTGTGCATAATGGATTCTATCTCACTATTGATAGCTTCTTTCCAAAAAGGAGCATCCGGACTTGTCAAAGCTTCCCGAATGGTTCTCGGTTCGTTCTCTAACACATAAGTTAGAAATTCAGGACCAAAAGACTTAGGTACTTTTGTTCTCTTACTAAGCCTTGGCTCATCCTCAATTTCTTGAGGTAGCTTGGCCTCTTCGAATGTCCTTTTTCTCGGAATTGTTACTTCCTTGTCTTTACAAGAAAAAATATTCTCAAAGAACACCGCATTTCGAGACTCAATAATCGTTCCATTATGAATCTCCAAAATTTCTGATTTGTGCACCAAAAATCGATATGCACTACTATTTTTTGCATAACCAATAAATATACAATCAATAGTCTTTGGTCCAATTTTCACTTGTTTTGGTTTAGGTATTTCAACCTTTGCCAAACACCCCCATACCTTTAAGTATTTTTAGGTAGGCTTATGACCATTCCATAACTCATATGGTGTTTTGTCATTACCTTTGTGGGGTAATTTATTCAAAATATAATTTGCCGAAAGAACTGCTTCCCCCCACAAATTTTGGGTTAAGCCCGAACTTATCAAAAGCGCATTCATCATCTCTTTTAGTATCCGATTCTTTCTCTCGGCCACTCCATTAGATTGTGGTGAATATGGAGCTGTCGTTTCATGAATAATACCGGACTCTTTGCAGAGCACCTCAAACGGGGCTACATAATCGCCTCCTCTATCACTTCGAATCGCTTTGATCTTTCGACTAAGTTGATTCTCAACTTCATTTTTATACGTCTTAAAGGCCTCTAATGCCTCATCTCTACTCTTTAGTAGATAAACGTAGCAATACCTTGTACAATTGTCTATGAATGTAATGAAATACATCATCCCAGCTTGAGTTTGTACAAACTTTAAATCACATATGTCAGTGTGAATTAACTCGAGTGGACTAGTGCTTCTCTTCACCGGTTTAAACGGTGCTTTAGCCACTTTTGCTTCAACACATGTTTCGCACATGTTGTGTGAATTGATTTTAACTTTAGGTATCAATTCCAAATTCACCAACCTTTTAATAGTGTTATAGTTCACATGTCCTAATCTATCATGCCATAAATTAGAACACTCCAACAAATAAGAAATACTTTCTTTATTATTCGCCTCTTGGCGGATAACATTCATTACATTCATCTTAAAAAGACCCTCATCTAGGTACACTTTCGCTAAGAAGACACCATTCTTAGTCATTACAAATTTATCGGCATCAAAGACTAATCTAAATCCGACATTGCTCAAAAGAGCACCAGATAAAAGTTCTTACGGATGTCCGGGACATGCATCACTTCCATTAGCGTCAAGTCTTTGCCCGATGTTTAGCACCACCTTGCCCGTTCCCACGACGTTTGATGTCGAAGAGTTGCCCATGTATATCTTCCTTCCGTCGGTAGGGGTATAAGACGAGAACATATCTCTATCCGCACAAATATGTCGAGTTGCTCCTGCATCGACCCACCATTCTCGTGGATTATTATTAACCAAGTTAACTTCTTGGACCACGGCGGTAAGGTCGAGCTCAGATAAGTCAATGGGAACAAATTTATCCTCGGCTATATGCGCGCTATCTTTACCCTTCTTCGGGACACGACAATCTTTCGCAAGATGCCCAGATTTACCACAATTGTAGCAATTCCCTTTGAACTTCTTGGTGCTCGTTTGTGGCTGCTTTCCATTTGAAGTTCTCTTGCGCTTCTTTTTGGAGTTTGACTCGGCCAAGTTTGCCTTAGCCTCGTAGTCACTCCGGTTAGCCCTTACTTCAGACTTTCGGTTATCTTCTTCAATCCGAAGTCGAACAATTAAGTCCTCCAACGTCATCTCTTTGCGTTTATGCATGAGATAGTTTTTGAAGTCCTTCCAAAGAGGTGGTAACTTTTTAACAATAGCCGCAACTTGGAAGGCTTCATTCACAATCAATCCTTCGGCCAACAAATCGTGAAAGATGATTTGAATCTCTTGAACTTGGCTAACCACCAACTTGGTGTCCACCATTAAGTACTTTAGGAATTTGCCGACGAGAAATTTCTTAATCCTGACATCTTCCGTCTTGTAATTTATCTCCAAGGAATTCCATAACTCCTTTGTCGTCTTAATTGAACTATAGACATTGTAGAGAGAGTCGTCTAGTCCGTTAAGGATATAATTTCTACACAAGAAATCATTGTGATTCCACGCATCCAAGGCCGTACGCTTTTGTTCGTCAGTCTCACTTTCGGGGATGATCAAAGGGTCCTCTAAAAGAAAACGAGAGAGGGAGAGAGTTGTGAGGTAGAACATCATCTTTTGTTGCCACCTCTTGAAATCAGATCCATTGAACTTCGGCGGTCTCTCGCCTTGGATGGGAGCAGCTACCATCGGTTGAGCACTTGAAGAAGACGTTTGATTTCCTCCAGTTGCCATCTTATGAACCCACAATATTTCGTCTTAATATTGTTATAATTGTGGTATGTGAATATCAAAAATGGCTTAAGAAATCAGAAGGAAAAGGGTTAATAACTTTTTGCCATCTGAACTTTCACGTTTTTGGCGCATCACCGTACGAACTTCTTTTTTTGGCAAACCACTATCTAAACTACACGGGTTTTTCAATTTACCCCCCCGACCAGATTTAATTCTGGTTTGACCTGTTTGAAACTAGTTTTGAGCCCCATATAAATACTCATCTATCGGTCATTTACGAGCAGAATTTTCTCAAACTTATCCAATTTTCCCCTCTTTTGGTCTAGCTAGGGTTTCCAATTTCGAATCAAAGCAATGTTCAGGCAAATCTCCGAGGAACTAATCGATGATTTCTGCCGCTGTGGGAAGCCTACTGTGCGAAAGACGTCATGGGCTGATGGTAATGCGGGGCGGAGGTCCTCGGCCTGCCAGAAATACCGGGTGAGTGTCACTCAATTTCTTCTCTCGATTTCAATTTGTTAGTTTAATAGAGTTTGCTAGTTTAATTTTTCATCTTGTTTCGACATTAATGTTTGTCAACTCATATCAATTTTTTTTTTTCCCTTTTTTTTTGAATTCCAGATGTTGGGTGGGTGCACATACCATGTGTGGGTTAACCCTCCAATGTGTTATAGAGCACAACAACTCATTCCTGGGCTTCTGAAACGGGCCAAGAAATTGGAAGAAGAAATTGCAAGAAGGAAGAAATGGGAGAGGCTCATGTTGTTGGCAATTGTTGGTTTGATTGCTCTGTGCATATTCAAGTGTAATGGGTGTGCTTGAGTATTGACTGAAACAAGATGAAATAGATGTACTTGAAGTGTAATGGGTGTGCAATCTTGTACTTGGCGATTTTGTCAATGCAATGGATGTGTCTGTTTTGTGAATGCAATGGAAGCATCTCTTTTATTTTGTGGACAATGTAATGTTTATGGTGTATTGGTCAGTTCATGAATGCAATGGACTATGTTTCAAATCCCTGCTGTTTTTCTGATTAGTTTGTGTACATTGTTGGTGCCATTACGGATGAATAAACAACCAAAATAAAGTAACACTTAAATTTCCAACCAAACACTTAAATATCCAACAAGGATTATACATGGTTTGGATCATACATTTCCCACATCCCAAAAAACAATCATAGTATCTTAAAAAAACATGTTCACAACAACCAAGTCAACAAAACATGTTCAAAAGACCCAAAACAAATCATGTTTCTCCAAGACATACCAACAACACAAAACAAATCATGTTTTCAGAAACCAAACCAAACCAACAAAGCATGATCTATCTAGTTCAGAGCCACAAATTAAGAACAAGCCTAGTCTACTGTTGTTTGCAAATTGGGACTTCTTCTTCAGCTCTGACAATTTCTTCACTTCTGACCAAAGATGGGTCTGTCCTGTTTACAATCCCTCCTCCACTTATCATGACTCCTGCACCAAACATTCTTGAGAAGCTTGCACCATCACCATCTCTGAGTAACCTCCCAGGTGGTCTCCATGGGGGTCTGTCAACCTCAGGAGCAGCAGTGGATGTTTGACCTTGAGATTTTGACATCTTTCTCACCTAGAAGTAATTACAATTGTCAAGATTTGACGTACAACTTAAAATAAATATGTGCTAAACAAATTTAACCAATAAAGCATCCAAATACTTACATCCAACTTCCTTTTCAGACCTAAAGTTTTTTTTGTGCTGTGAACATCCTTGGTGGTTTGAGAGTTCTGTGTGTGCACAATTTTCTCAATACCTGTGACCTTATCAATTGACTAGAAGAACAAATTAATTAGAAAATCAATAAGAACTTAAAAGTAGTGAAGAAATACTCTATTTTATCTACATGTAATATATCCAGTTACCTTACTACCCATGGAATTGGTAGTTGAAGTGGAATTGATGTTCTTCTTGGATCTTGTGGTTGGTCCTGACACTGTGATGCTTTTGGCCAACTTTTTTTTTGTTGAGACTTCTCTTGTCTTCTTGGTAAGGGCCGGTGACTTCTCAATTGAGGTGTTGGCAGACCTTGTGGTTCTCACTTGAGTTTCAGTAGTCTTCATTGCATTCTGTTTCTTTGAGGTCTTGCTTCTTGCTCTCTGAGGAGAGTTGTTTCTTCTTTTACTTTGAGGAGGCTGCACAATTTATTAGTTAGTCAATATTTAGGGTTTCCAACATTTAAAATGTACTGTGAAAAGTCAAACATACCCTTGCAAGTGGTTGTTCATTGTTGGGCAGTGATGCATCAAAAGCATCAAATTTATCAATGACTGAATAAATATCTTCCAAGTCTGGGTCATTGTCCATCTGCTGAGAGCCCATTTGGTCAAGGCCCATTTGCTCAGGGCCCATTTGCTCAGAGCTCATCTCCTGAGTGCCCATTTGCTCAGGGCCCACTGAGGCAGGCTCCATTTGGTCAGGGTCCACTGAGGCAGGCTCCATTTGGTTAAGGCCCACTGAGGCAGGCTCCATTTGCTCAGGGCCCACTGAGGCAGATGCTTGTGAGGGCCCATTTGGGTCATTGTTCATTTGGTTGACCCCTCCTTGCTCATCTTTTTCATTTGCCTAAACATATAATAAATTGATGTTAGAATATCTTCAAAGTATGAATGCATAAGTAGTACATAAATGAAAATACCTTTTGGCTGTTTTCATCCAATGTCTGATTCTTCTTAGAAGGGCAACCTTTGACATTGTGGTTCTTCTGTCCACAATATGAGCATGTCATCTTCACTCCCTTTTTCCCTAAGGTAAGTGGTCTTCCACCTTGTGATGGCCTCCCAGAATCTCTTTTACCTTCATCTGGATCTTTCCTTCTATTATGTTTTCTTGGTCTTCCAGGCATCTTCTCAGTCACAGGTGGGACAAGAGGTTGCACATCCACCTCTGCCCACATTTCAGAGTCATTAATGACTTTCATAATATGTGAATGTGACCTTAGAAATGAGTTCTTACTGTAACATTTGTCCATAAAGTCTTCAGGATTCTTCCCCAAGTAGAAAATCCCACTTATTGCATGAACACATGGGATACCAGTTAAATCCCACCTTCTACAGGTACAAGTTTTTTCAGTTAAATGAACCTTGAACCTGGTTCCTATCCCATTCTCTATCTCAAACTGATCCTCACCATTCCAATGAGCAAAAAAATCTAAAGCTCTCTTTTTCAGCTCCTCCAAGATATTAACAATCTTTGGACAGATATCACCATCATATTTTAATATTTGATCCCTTCTCTCATGCAGTCTCTTCATCAATATTAACCTGATGTGCTCTAAGAGTTCAAGAATTGGCTTCTTTCTGGCACTCAAAATCATGGAATTGAAACTCTCACTGTAGTTATTGTAAAGAATATCACTCTTGCTATGAGTTGAAAAGTGGGACCTTGACCAATGACATGGAGGAACTTTAGCTAACCACTTGAATGCTTTTTCATCTCTGTTTTTCATCTCATCCATAGCCTTTTGTAGATCAACCACCCTTGATGACATTGCTGCCTTGAAGAGGATACCTTTGAGAGCCAATCCTCTGTAGTTCAGCTTGAAGTTATTGTACAGATGCATGACACAATACCTATGTTCAGAACCAGGGAAAAATCTATTCACTGCATCAATTAACCCCTTTTGTCTATCAGACATCACTGTCCACATGTGGGCTTCCTTGATGTTCAAATCTTGGGCTAAAAATTCCATAAACCAGCCCCAACTATTTTTGGTTTCTTTCTCAACAACAGCATATGCAAATGGAAACATGCTGTTGTTTGCATCTAACCCTACAACACTCAGCAACACACCCCCTGCAAAACTTTTTAAATGGCAACCATCAAAACATATAATAGGTCTACAACCCTCTAATAGCCCCATCTTCAGTGAGCCCCAACAAATGTAGAATCTTCTAAAAACAGGTTTTCCATCAATCATGTTACACTTGATCTTCACTGTGGTGTTAGGGTTAGTGTCCCTAATTTCTTTTGCATACCTCCACAACAATGCATATTGATCACTGTCCACCAGACCTCCCATTTTTTGAACCCTCTTCTTGGCCCTATACATCATACTCTTGCTTAAAACAAGTTTCTGCTCCTTCTGTGTCACTAGCATCATTGAATCAACTGGCCAATTTGGATCACTCCAAATTTTATCCTTGTAGGTTCTTGCAAGCCATTCACTACCAGCATGAGAAACTTTTTGTTTCCTGTTACACCTGTGTTTCCCATTAAAGGTTTTTACAACCATTGTGTCCTCATCCTGCTTCTTAGAGGCATAAATCACCCAGGGACATTTTTGTTGTTTGCACTTGGCTTGAACCTTAGTTTTCTCATTAATAGTGAAAACAATATCCCTACCTTGTTTCCTAGAATGTTGCCTCACAGCTTCTCTAAAGGTAGGTGTATCACTAATGTTCATGCCTACCTCAAATTTTGGGTCTTCTCTATCTAACTTAGGGTTAAAAACTGGATAACCATCATGCATCTGACTTTTTTTCTTCCCATCAGAAAACTTACCCTGGACTTCTGACCCTTTTTTCTCTCCCAAGTTCAAACCACCCAACTCAACTTCAACATCTATACTACCATCAAACAACACATCATCATCTGATACATCATAATCACTTTCACTTATATAATCAGACAATTCTGAGTCACTAACTGTTTCACCTGAATGATCATCAACATCACTATCACTTTCATCTGTTTCCCTATCATCAATAACATCTTGCAGGTATGTTCTACTTACACCACCAGACTGATTCTCATTACTACCTACAAATGCATTTTCTTGACTGATTCTCTCCTCAGAACTTTGTAAATTCCCAACAAATGGCAATGGTTCAACAACATTTGGAAGCTCAGACTCATTAGGCTCAGACTGATTACCACTAAAAATGAGGGGCTCATGTTCAACAAACAAACTTACAACTCTATCAGAATCCAACCATTGCACCAAATTCATAGCATCTAAATCATTCTCAAGTAGTGACAAATCAGAACAATCATTCATTCCTCTTTTGCTGTAGTATATTTTACCCACATTTTCCAAGTCAATTTCTTTAACCATAGACATTATCTCAACCAGTGAAATCAAATCAGCATCACAATTGTCAATAAAGTCAACAGAACCACCACAATACACATTTCGATCCAAACTTACAAATTTACCAGAATGATTGATTGCAATCGTAAAACTTTCAGCATTATCACCTATAAAATGAAAAAAAAAAAAAAAAACACCTCAGAAACAAACATGAAACTAAGCACTCAAAATTCATATTTTGAGACAAAGGTATCAGATTTGAGAGGAAAAAATAACCTAACACTTACAATTGTGATTCGCTCCCGATGGCTGGCACCATTTTGGCCGCAGCTTCCAACTCATCGTTGTAAATAATCTTCAAGAAGTACTCACAGTGTGTTCAGTTTCGTACGCCGATTCAGAAAGTAGTGAAATGAATTTCGATTACGAGGTAAAGGAAAAATCCCTAATTTCAATTTCAAAATCTCAAGAGCTGAAACCCTAATGTGTTTGCGAGAAATGAAAATGTAGAGAAAGGTAGGGGAACCGTTTACCGGGTTTGGAGTATTTATATGGGGCTCAAAACCAGTTTCAAACAGGTCAAACCAGAATTAAATCTGGTCTGGGGGGTAAATTGAAAAACCCGTGTAGTTTAGATAGTGGTTTGCAAAAAAAAAAAGTTCGTATGGTGATGCGCCAAAAACGTGAAAGTTCAGATGGCAAAAAGTTATTAACCCGAAGGAAAATGACGAAACGAACAAAGTCGAGGCACGTAATGTACGCTCTCCTTAAGACGAAATAGCCCCGTATATTACCCACGGTTAACGGCTAACGCCTCCAAGATACAAACACTTCGATTTGTGTATAGCGGTAACTCAAATATACAAACCTTCGGTGAACAATACTCAAGTTTCGGAACTCAGATAAGAAAGAACACAAAGAACACAAGATGAATATGAACTTTGTAAAAAGGATGCAAAGACTCTTGGAAAATTTCATGTACTAAATGATTTCATGGTTGTGGGTATTTATAGATGTAGAAAAACACGTCCAAGAGGTTTAAGTGTCAAAAGACACCTTTTGGGACGTGCCCGTACGAGAACGGATGCATCTAGTGGCCAAAAGATACCTTATAGTCACCAAGGGTTGCAACCCTTTGATTTCCGCAGCCAGTTGCGCGCCCGTGCGCCACGGGCTCGTACGAGCTCATACGGACTCGGAATCGAGTTCTGTTTTTTCCTACTTGTCCCCAACGAGCCCTTCTACAATACTAGCATTTATAATGCATAATTATGGCTCGTTTAGTTTATCCAAACATTTGTCAAAACAGAATGTTTGTGAACCCTACAATCTTTGAGTTATTTAAACTCAATTAATTAACATATAACACTTAGAATTAATTTCTCATTCACCTTAAAATGGTTTTAAGAATTTCCTAAGTCTTCTACTTATGAAAAAGGGAATCGCTAAATCGGTACAAAACCAATTTTCTTACAGTGTGTAGGTTTAAAAGTAATGTGTTGTTTTGTTAAATATGTTTCTCAGAATGCTGTATATTTAGATTAAAACTATCAAATATCATTGAATACTCGATCATAAAAGGTAGGGGTTTTTTCATTCTTTAAAAAACAGTGAAAAACAATTTGTTAGCAACAAAATGAATAGTGTTATTGTTATTGTTTATTATATTTATATTTACTTTGTTTACCTTAGATATTCTTATGGTAATTGGAACTCTAAATTGTGTATATAAATTCGGTTCTTTTTACACCGGCATCATGGCCGTCGCAATTTTTTTTATCAATCTGCTCATCTTTGAGAATTTTTTCATTGTAGCTTTCTCTCGATCGATCAGAGAGTTGTTCATCCAATCGCTGCTCATCAGATTGCAGAAAAGCAAATAAATATATAAATAGAAATCACATTAGATTGCTGCTAATCCGATCAGAGAGTTTTTCATTCGATTGTAAAAAAAAACATCAGATCGCTCCACTGCTGCTCATCTTCACAGGTCCTTGTCCGTGCCTCATCTCATCTCATCTGTTGTTGCTCATATTCACGTCCAGGCATTTCACAGGCTCATCTTCACAGGCCCTTCTTCACAGCCAACGTCTCCACGACAGCCCTTGTTCATAAGCTCTGGTCCGCGCAGAATTAGTTCATAGGCCCCGTCCACGTTAGCCCTAGTTCAGGGTCGCTGCTGCTTCGAGTTGCTTCGTCATGTCGACTTCTTTGACATTTGATTATGCTGTCAACGGTGGTGGAGGCACTATGGTGGTCCAAAAAACCATCTCACTGTATGATATCACTTCTCCGACAATCCGAGAAATCTAATCACGCAAGTACTGCTTAAGGGCAACTCCAATTACGACGAGTGGGCACGGCATTTTTGAATCGCTCTTTGGGCCCACAAGAAATATGGTTTTCTCGATGGCTTGATCCCATGTTCACCCATCGAGTCTGACCTACACAAAGATTGGTGGGCCAATAATGATTTATTGGTTTCATGGTTGATGAACTCGATTGATTCAAAGGTGCAATACTCTATCATGCAACATGATCATGTCAAGGATATATGGCTCTCTCAAGGAGCGTTTTTCCACTCGTAATGGTTCGAGAATTCAACAATTGGAATATGACCTTGCTAATTGTAAACAAAAGGGTTTTGTTGATTGAGTACTGTTATAGCAAGATCACAAAAATATGGGAAAAACTCTCTGGTTTTGAGAGGCCTTCGATGTGTCGCTGTGGCAAGTGCGAGTGCAACATGCAATCAGTGTGGGATCGGATACACGAAGACGAACGTGTGCACTAGTTTTTGAAGCGGCTAGATTCGGCCCTGTATGGAGTGCCACGGTCTCATATTCTTGCTCAATATATGCTCC